GATAGATAGATAGATAGATAGATAGATAGATAGATAGATAGATAGATTTGCCTGCTCTTTAAGATGCACTTCACCCTTGGCTAAGAGCCCATAATTCCTGCATCTACAGCATGGTCCAGAATACAAATTCCATTCTCTGACACCTTCTTCTTGACCAGCTGTTCACTTCCCATATCCTCTTTTCTCTTCTGAAATCCCTTCCTTAAATTGGCAGCAGTGATAAAAACACCATCTGTGTCCCTGAAGTCTTCAGTTTCTTTCTTAGAACTTCATAATTCCTAAAAAGATTAAGAATGAGGAATTATTCCTTCAGTCATTTGTTTTCTCATAATAATAGCTAGCAGTCATAGAGAACTTTAAAGTTTGCAAAGTACTCTACATATGTCATTTGTCTCTCACAACTTTATGAGGTAGGTGCTACTATTACCTACATTTCAGAGATCAATCAATAAACATTTATTAAGTGCTTACAATACTCTAGGCACTGTAATAAGGGAATGTGGATTTAAAAAGAGGCAAAAGACAGTCCCTGCCCTCAAGGAGCTTACAATCTAATGGGGGAGACAACATGCAAACATACATACAAAGATAGATAGATAGATAAGATAATAAATGGGAAATAACAGAGGAAAGGCACTGGAATTAAGAAAGGTCCAGTAAGCCTTCCTTTAGAAGGTGGGATTTTAGTTAAGACTTAAAAGAAGCCAAAGAGGTCAGTAGTCAAGAACCGTGGAGAAAGATGTTCTAGCATGGAAGATATCCAGAGAGAATTACCAGAGCTCAGAGACAGAGTTTCTAGTTTGTAGAACAGCCAGGAGGTATTATTAAATTGAAGAGCATGTGTCTGGGAGTAAGATGTAAGAAGACTAGAAAGGTAAGAGGGGGCTAGATTATGAAGGGCTCTAAATGCCAAACAAGGCATTTTGTATTTGTTCCTGGAGGCAACAGAAAGACACTGGAGTTTGAGTGGGGAGAGTGGGGGAGGGGTGACATGATTGGACCTGTACTTTAGGAAAATAACTTTCGTGGCTAAATGGAAGATGGATTGGAGTGGAGAGAGACCTGAGGCAGGCAGACCCACCAGAAGGCTCTTGCAATAATCCATGAATGAGGTAATGAGGGCCTGCACCAGAGTTGTTGCAGTGTCAGAGGGCAGAAGGGGACTTATTTGAGAAATATTGAAAAGATGAAATTTACAGACCTTGGCAACAGCTTAGATATGGAGGGGGGTGAGAATTAGTGAGGAATTCAGAATGACTCCTAGGTTATGAGCCTGAGATATTGGGAGGATGGTATTGCCCTCTACAGTAATATGGAAGGTAGGAAAGGGCCAGCATTTAGGGCAAAAGATAATGAGTTGTTTTGGACATGTTGAGTTTGAGACGTGTACTAGGCATAGAGATCAAGGTGTCTGAAAAGCAGTGGGAGATGCAAGCTTTGAGGTCAGAAGAAAAATTGGGGCAGGATAGGTAGATTTGAGAATCATCACCAGAGTGATGGTAACTAAATCGATGAGAGCTGATGATACCATCAAGTGAAGTAGTATAGATGGCCTTGGACAGAACCCCAGGGGACACCTTTGGATTGAGGGTATGAGATGGAGGAGGATCCAGCAAAGGAGACAGAGAAGGGGCAGTGAGAAAGGCAGAAAACCAGGAGAGAATGGTGTCTCAAAAACCTAGAGAGAAGAGAAGAGAATGCTCAACAGTGTTCAGGGAGAATGAGGATTGAGAAAAGGCCATTAGATTTGGCCACAAAGATCATTAATAACTTTGGAGAGAGCAGTTTTGGTGGAATGATGAGGCCAGAAGCCAGATTGTAAGGGTTTGGGAAGAGAGTAAGAGGAAAGAAAGTGGAGGCACCTATTGTAGGTGACCTTTTCAAGTTTAGCTACAAAGGGCAGAAGAGATATAGGATGATAGTTAGGGGGGATGGAAAGATCAAGTAAGAGTGTTTTTTAGGATGTGGAGACATGGACGTGTTTTTGGGTAGCAGGAAATATGCCAGTAGAGAGAGATTGAAAATAAGTGAGAGTAGAGATGAGAAGTGGGGATCGACTGGAGGAGACAGGATGGAATGGAATCATTTGAACAGGTAAAGCAGTTAGCCTTGGCAAGGGGTAAGGCTACTTCATCATGAGTCAGAGGTGAAGGGGAAAATGGCAAAAGGCACCTGAGTGATAGGAGATAAGGAAGGAAGGAGGAGAGGGAGGTCATAGAAAACGGCCTCAATTTTACCTGTAAAATGTGAGGCAAGATTCTCAGCAGAAAAAGTAAGGGAAGGGGAGCCATGGAATGTCTGAGGTCAGATGAAAAGTTTTGAAAGAACTGAAGTGGAGAGTGTAAGTTGATAAGGAAGTATAGGAGGAGATAAAAAAAAAGTAAGGCTGAAAGAGATTAAGTGACTTGTTCAGGTTCATTTAACTAGTGAGTACCTGAAGCAAGTTTCAAACTGAGCTCTTCCTGACTTTATCCAGTGACAGATAGCTGCTTCTATATAGTAGGGAGACTAACCTGAATTTTGAGAGCAAGTGGTTAGTATTAGACATGTACAAAATCTCCAAAAGCATGAGCACTGCGTGCTGGACGCTGGAATATTCCTCACTTACTGTAATGGCTAAAAGTGAGATTCTCAAATCCATGTCACAGCAAGCTGCCCGGAAGCTGAGATTCTTCTCATCATAAGTGAGTTTATTTCGAGTGATTCCTAAGCAAGACTTTCTTTTTCTAAGACTTTCCTTACAAGATTCTTACATCAGCAATAATAGCATTTATAATCACTTTACAAATAGGTGATCCTTATGACAATCATGGGAGGTAGATACTATTATCATCCTCATTTTACAGATGAGAAAACTGAGGTATAAACAGGTTAAGTAACTTTCCCCATGTTCACACAGCTAGTAAGAGTCTAAGGCAGTATTTGAACTCAGGTCTTCCTGACTCCAAGTCCAGCTCCCTATTCTCTGCACCAGCTAATGGCCTTGTTCATTTATGTTTGATCAATAATTAGCAGATTCCTGACCTCCCCTCCAAAAAAAATCTATTCTTATTATCTATGAAAATGTCTTCTGTAGAAACTCAATTTCTAACCTCTTTTTCCTCTCATCTCCGACCACTAATAAGATATCAGACAATATAAAGATATCAGATATTGTCTACTTATATTTTGCCTTTTCATTTTTCTGTCATCTTCAGTACATGGTTTTTTGGAGGGTAGGGCATGATTCAATCCCTTTTGCTAAATAAATGGAGCCTTAGTTTCCTACAATATATATAGGTCATGTTTGCTATGTTTGTTGCAACTGCTGGTTTGTGTTGAATGTCAGACTCACTCTGTGTAAACCTTCACCCTGCTCCCTCACATGAAATCACAGTATCTTATTTTACTTTCATGGAAACCAGTTTTTTTCAATACTTTAATTCATTGTCAATATCATTACAAACTAAAGGATGCTTCAGTCTCTTCACACTTTTGTCAATTTCTCCTTTACCATCAGGAGTCTGGGGAGACCAAGGGACCAGCAAGAAGGTAGATGGAGAAAAAAAATTCCAATTAGGCCTTTCTAATTTGAGATGAGTACATAATTCTTTCTCACATGGAAGAAAATTCTTGTAAAACTGTAATTGATTCTCTGAGACCACAAAAAAATCATTACCTTGAAGGAACTACCATTTTTACATCCACCACTATTAGTCACTCTCAGCTTAATAGATTATTAGGTACTCTGTCCATATTCATTTCTGTGAAACTTTGTTTCTGTTTATCTCTTTTATAAGTTGTTTCTAATAAACATAATTTTCTCTTTTCAGTTGATTTCATAGGTGGATTCGACTCTTATGGCTATCAAGGCCCACAGAAGACATCTCATTTACAACTACAGCCCATGTACATGTAAGGACTTTGCTTTTGCAATATTTCTTGGACATGCAGAAATGAGAAGATAATTCAGAATTGATGATATTCAGCTAGCTTTTTTGTGACAGAATGGCTTCAATATGTTTAATTCTCTAGTATGATTCAGGGGTGGCGGACTTACCCTCCAAGCCATAGGTCCTCAAGCACAGCCCTTTGACTGAATCAAAACTTCACAGAACAAATTCCCTTAATAAAACGAATTGTTCTGTAAAACTTGGACTCAGTCAAAAGTGCTCATCCACGGACCTAGAAGGCCACGTGTGGCCTCGAGTCCATAGGTTCCCCACCCCTATATCTAACATAATTTCTCATGTCATGATGTCCCACATTTTGATGTAATGTTGATTTTAAAGTGACTTATCAGAGGTTCAGAAATGATGACCTTAGCCCTACAGATAGCCTTACTCCTATCAAGGCGCCAGGTCTCCAGCTCAAGGATCCATTTGGTTTGCCACTCTTTTCCATTTATTATTGCATTTGAATATTTAGACCAAAAAATGTGAATGTGATCAAGATTGATTAATTTAACTGTGAGGTAGAAGTCTAACTGTGAGACCTTAGGCCAGTCTCTTGACCACTCTGAGTCTGAGAATTCTCATTTTCAAAATGAGGAGCTTAGACTAAATGACTAAGATACTTTCCAGTTCTAATATTATATAATTCTGTATTACTATGTCAATTACCCCAAAATGCAGTCAAATACATGTAGCTTCTTTAGGGCAGAGATGGATGAACAGATCAAATTTGTAGTACAATGATATTCATTCATTTAATAGGTTCCTACTATCTTTCTGCAAAGTAAAAAAAAAAAAACACTTTGCCTTTCATTCACCATACTGCATATGATAATTATTTTTGTAGGCTTTCATGATTTGTAAAATGTAGGAGCTCTGTTAATGTTTGTGGAATTGAATTGGATTGAATGTGAAAAGCATGATTAGATTATAATCCATTAGCTCAATTGTTTCAGGTGACTGGCATACAATTGGAGCTTATTTTATATCCTTTTTAAGGCAAATTTCCTTGGAAAAACTGATCTATATCCTTACCTACATGTATTCATATGTATTGATATCAACCCATTTCCATGGCAAGTTGACCTAGAAAAATATTATAGAACCAAAAGCAAAGGTCAAAAGAAAAACTACCAATTCATCATAAACTGGGGAAACCTCACTTTTCTTTATCTGTGCAGTATCACAAGTGAAGAGGTTAAATTTATTGCATTAAGCATTTATCCATTCACTCTTTTATTAGGTGGCTATAATGTCCAAGGCACTATACCCATTATGCATTACAATCATTGTGCTATTTGTGGTGATAACTGAATTTATGAATTATTTTCTTCCATAAAATAAGCATTTATTGAAGATCTATTTCATGCAAAACAATGTGCTGTACATTAAGAGAGAGATAAAACTTAGAAAGACCCATTCCCTGCCCTCATGGAATTTGCAGTGTATTTGAGATATAAAATATACTTAGGTTCAATGGGTAGAAATTTAAGAGGACCAGATTTAGGCTCAATATGGGGAAAACTCCCTAATAATTAAGTCTATCCAAAAGTATAATAACCCACCTCAGGAGGAGATAGTGACTTTTCCCACTGGTACTCTTGGCCACTAGCTAGAGATATTATAAAGGTGATTTTATACAGGTAGTAATTAGATTTAGGTTACGTATTGCTTTAGGAAGGCACTGAAGATTTTTAAGCAGGTAAATGACTTGTCCTGTTCCATGTAGAAGAACAAATATAGTCATCAAGGAATATAGAGGAACGCTAATTAGGAGGCTATTACTGACCTGGAAGACTAAGGAGAAATGATTTAAGAATCAATGGACTACCTGAAGCCATGACCAAAAATGAGTCTAAACATCACATTGCAAGAAATAGGTGGCTCAGTGGAAAGAGCACCGGCCCTGAAGTCAGGAGGACCTGAGTTCAAATCCGTCCTTAGACCAAACACTTGACACTTACTAGCTGTATGACCCTGGGCAAGTCACTTAACTCCAATTGCCTAAAAATAAAAAAATTAAAAATTAAAAAAAGAAATGTTAAAAGAAAACTTCACGGATCTCTTAGAAACAGAGGGCAAAAAGGAAATAGAAAGAATTCATCTTTCATCTCCTGAAAGAAACTCCCAAATAAAAACTCCAGGAATATTATAGCCAAAATCCAGAGCTTCAGGTCAAAGAAAAAATAAGGCAAGAAGCCAGAAAATATCAATTCAAGTAGTAAGGAGCCAAAATTTGAATCACACTTGATTTAGAAACTACCACTATGAAGGAGCAGAAAGCTTGGAATATGATATTCCAGAAGACAAAGTATATAGGGTTATAGATAAGAATAGCTTACCCCACAAAACTGGGGGAGGTGGGGAGAAACATTTAATGAAATAGAGAACTCCCAAGTATTTCTGATGAAAAGGATGCATAGAAACCTTTGAGTTCAAATACAAGAATTAAGAGAAACAAAAAGATAACTACAGATAAAAAATTATAAGGGATTAAATAAAGATAAATTGCTTACATTCTAATATAGTGAGATGATTCATGTTTCCCCTCTGAATGCTATCATCATTAGGGGTCCTAGAAGGAGTCTAATTAGACAGAAGGCTGAGAATAGTTCTGTTATGCCTTGATGACCTTAGGAGGAGAAGGAAAAAGGTTAGGGGAAAGTATCTTACATAATTAGGGTGTACAAGTATAAGTCTATTAGGAAGAAGGAGGGTGGCTTGTACTTGAACCTTACTCCTTACTATTACTGCAACTGGTCAAAAAAAGGAAGAACACACACACACACACACACACACAGAGTTCAGTACAGATATATATTTTAGTCAACTGGCAAATAGAAGGGAAAATTCTATTTGCCAATTGACTAAAATGTATGAAGATATATGAAAATATTTATGGCTCGTTTTGAGGTGCCAAAAATGGGAATTTGAGGGAGTTCCCATCAGCTGGAGAATAGTTTAACAAGTTATATTATACAAATGTGGTAAAACGCTAAGGGGATGGTTTTAGATAAATCTGCCGAGACCTGTATAAATCGATGAAGAATGAAGTGAACAAAACCAAGAGAATAATTTATGCAATGAAAGACTTGGATACTCTGATCCAACCTAATGACTAACCATGATTCCGGAGGATTAATGAAAGATGATACCCATCTCCTGATAGAGAGCTGATGGATATACACACATATACATATACACACATATGTATGTATTCAGATAGGTGTATATTCAATTGTAAAGCTATACAACAGAATGTAATAAGTAGATTTAGGAAGATGCTACCGTGTGTTTGTGTCGTGCATATATTTGTATATTTATACATAGATACACAGTGTAGCTATGTATCCACTGTGTACATAAGTGTTTACACAGGTTACACAAACCTGATTTCTACATTGGACATGTGCAAAATCAAAATATGTTTATGTGTATGCATATATACATGATTTTTTTCTTTTAGACATGTCCAATGCAGAATTATTTTTTGCTTAATTATATATGTTTGTAACAGGGGTTTTGCTTTTCTTGTGTTCTTGGGGGGCAGGGTTAGTTAGAGGGCGAGGAGGCAAATTTTTACTAATTGAAAAAAAATAAAATTTAATTTAAAAAGTCATTTTGGTAGCTGAATGGAGAATGGATTAGAGTGAGGAAAGAGACAGACAGACAGACATGAAACAAGACCGACCAGGTTATTACATTAGTCAATTAATGATGTGATGAAAGCCTTTTCTAGAATGGCTGCTGTTTAAGTGCAAAGGAGACATATAGGAGAGATTAAAAATAATGATAATAATAATATTTATATAGTACTTTAAGTTTTACAAGATGCTTTGCAAAATCATCTCACTTTTTTCCTTAAAAAAAAACCCTGAGAGGTAAATGCTATTTATATCCTTATTTTACAGATGAGAAAACTGAGGCAGACAGAGATTAAGTGACTTCCCAAGGGTCACCCAACTGGGCAACTAGGTGGTACAGTGGCTAGAAACCAGTCCTGGAGTCAGGAAGACCTGAGTTTAAATCCAGCCTCAGATACTTACTAGTTATGTGACCCTGAGCAAGTCATTTAACCCTGTTTGCCTCGATTTCCTCATCTACAAAATGAGCCGGTGAAAGAAATGGCAAACCACTCTAGTATCTTTGCCAAGAAAATTCCAAATGGGGTCACAAAGAGTCAGACAGGACCCAAATGACTAAATACCCAGCTAGAAAGTGCCTGAGGCCAAATCTGCACAAAGGTCTTCTTGACTCCAAGCCTGGTGCTCTATCCTCTGCACCATTTTGCTGCCTTGAAAAGTGTGGGTACCAATAATAAAACTTAATAGTCATATTTAAATTTTTGTCGTATTTGGGCATAGAATATCCTCATTCATTTTTATCAGTCAATAGACATTTAATAAATGCAAGGCACTGTACCAGGTGCTGAGGATATGCAACTAAAATAAGATTAAATAACAGTCTCTTTCTTCAAGAAGTTTACAATTTAATCAGGGAGACGAGATTAGGACATACCTGTTATTTCATTGCTATTGGAAGCTCCCAGTGAGGAAGCTCCCTCTACCAGTGAAAGTGTGCACCTACTTTGCAACTTGAAGGTATAGCCAAAGGCCTAGGACACTGAGGTTAACTGATTTGTTCAAGGTGACATAGACTTTATCCCATCTCTTCCTTAGCCCTAAGCCAATTTTCTATCCACATCCCCACCTTGCCTCTCAGTAGCATAGCAGAGGGGATGACATTCACAAAGCATTCTCATATAGCCTAGAATTCAAGGGTGGGGAACCTGTGGCCTCAAGGCCACATGTGGCCCTCTAGGTCCTCAAGTGGGACCCTTTGAGTGAATCTAATCTTTGCATAACAAATTCCCTTAAATAAAAGAATTTGTTCTGTAAAACTTGAACTTAGTCAAAAAACCATATCTGGCCTGCAGGCCACAGGTTACCCAGCCCTGTATAAATAT